AGGTTTTACATAGACTTACATTTTGACTGTATTATTTATGATAGAGTATTTGTGAACAAATACTGAAGAATCATATGAAGCAGGTTAATATAGCATGGTGGTTAAGAATTCAAGATCTAGAGACAGACTAAAGTTCTAATCTCAGTTCCAACATTTACTAGTTGTGTTGATCTTGGACAAGATAACTGCTCTGATCTTTTTTCCTCATCTATAAAGTTGGGTAAGAATTACCTTTCATAGGATTGCTCTGAGGATTAAGTGAGATATGTGGAAGAAGAGTAGGTCCATGGCATAGAAAACAAAGCTAAAAATGACTCCTGTGTAATTGAATGAGCCAATTACACATTTGAACCTATTTGCCTTGGAAGAGGACAGGAGATAGACCAATGAATGATGATGCAACAAGGTGAGTATCCCAGTCCAGAGTTTTGATTATTTTTTTCTTTTATTTATTTTTTAAGAGAGGGAGTTTGAGCCAGGGCCTGGGGTGTAGGAGGAAAAGAGAAAGATGGACAGAGAGGGTCTTAAGTAGGCTCCATGGGCATGGACCCTATTGCAGGGCTTGATCTCTGGACCCTGAGATCATGACCTGAGCCAAGAATCAAGTCAGATACTTAACCGACTAAGCCACCCAGTGCCCCAGGGTTTGATCTTTTGAATGGGGTAGTAAGGATCTACAGTATTTAAAGAAGAATGGTTAAAGGTCTAGCCTAGAAGTGCAAACAATGCTTTGGAACAGCTGAAAAAGAGTCATAATAGAGGCTGAGAGTATGTACAAGCAAAGATTACAAGAGAGGACTATGACTAATGGGTAAGATTAAGTAATGGAGCAAATATAGGTGAAATTTTGCACAGCAGGATTTGAAAGAGCTCTCAACCCAGTTTTCACTAGCTTTTTGGTGTCTGTGAAATAAGGAGATTGGACCATATAATCACTAGGGTTTTATTTGGGTCCAGCAGCCTGTGAAATTTCCAGCTATGAAACTGCGAGTGGGAAGAAAGGATAGGTTGTGATTCCTGAAAATTCTAGGTGGATGAAGTAAAAAATGAAATGTAGAATTGAAAGTTATCAGAGTATAACTGGTTCCTTATAGAGCTATTTGTGGCTAATGGAAGCAAAATTGTGCTATGGGACACTTTCCCAGAATCTCTATACTCAATGAATATTGCATGAAGTAGTGACATTTAAAAATGAGCTTACGATGGAATGGGAGGGAATAAACCACAAATAAAATGGATGGATGGTTAAGTGTCCAAAGTCAGGATATTCAACCTGGACTTAACTTCTCTGAAGATCATTGTGAAATAGTATACTTTATCACTTTTTGTGTATGGTTTTTAAAAAAAATCTCAAGTCAGTCTGTTATTGCTGTGAAATATATTTCGAGGCTTTAATCTTCCAGTTAGTGTCCATAGTGATGAAAAGACATTTAAGCATTTGCCCAAGAAAAGCAAAACTGACATGCTCAAATAATGTTAAAATTGCTTCAAAAGACAATATATTAATTTTGAGTTACTTGAACTCTCATGGCCTCTGACATCTGTACAAGTAGATAACTGAAAGTCCATTATCCATATTTCAAAAATGCAATTCTTGCTGAAAGTTTGTTTTATTTTGGTTAGAATTTTGGGAGAAGAAAACTCATACCAGGTTTTATCCATTCATTCAAGACATTTCTGGACACCTTCAATGGCAAGCACTCTACTAGGTACTTTTATACATTTTATACATTTTATGCATTTTCTTATTTAATCCCAATGGTTGTGTAGTTGGGAAAAAAATATTTAGAGAAGTTAAAACTTGTCAAATTCTTACAGTTAGTAAGAAGAATGGCCCTCTGGGAATCTGTAATCTAGTGGAATAGGCAGGTACCAAACCTAAAACAAAGTACCATCATAGACCTCTGTTAGCCCAGTGTGGCTCCTTGAGGAAGCCCTGGGAAGGAATATATATATATATATATATATATATATATATATATATATATATATATATATTAGATTTTTATTTATTTATTCATGTGACACACACACACACACACACATATATATATATATATATATATATATAGAGAGAGAGAGAGAGAGAGAGAGAGAGAGAAGGGCAGAGCATAGGCAGAGGAAGAATCATGACCTGAGCCAAAGGCAGACACCACTGAGCCACCAGGTGCTGCAGGAAGGATTTTAAAGGATGCATGGAACATTGAGAGGTAAACACTGGGCTGTGAGAAGGGGAGGAGGCAGAAGAGAAATTCAGAATAGAGGAGAAAAGTTTCACAGAGGCCTGATGACCAAGAATACCATGGTGTGGCCATGGAACAGTAAGTGTTGCTGTGATTGGTGAGGGGATAGGATGGAACAAACACATGACAGGCTGAGAGGAGAGACTGTGGCCAGAGGAACCCGGGGAGACCTCTGGGCCCTGAGGCTCTCGCCCCGCCTATCCCAGAGACATCACCAGAGGCTCTCAGTTTCATCACAAGAATTCAAGGACAGAGGAGACAGTGGTTGAGGGGTGCAAGAGAAGAGTATTAGAGATAATACACTCTTGAGAGTCAGAGTGGGCCAGCTCAACAGAGAGCTGTGCCCTGGGTTTGGGTTTCTACCTTATATTAATAGTTGTTCACTAAAGGATGGAGTATTTCTTTGGATGCAGGTTTTTTTTGCCTTTTCTCCCTCACTTGGTCAGGGTCTCAGGCCTTCTTTGTGTGGGCCTCTCTGGTTTGATTTGGCTTCTTGTGGCTTTGTGGAATGCTGCTAGGACAGGTTGCTAACTTTCCTGATAACAGGCCTTGCCTCCCCCTTCGCTGGCCTCCAGGCAACCTATCAAAACCTAACTAGCTCTGTTCACTCTAACAATATAACTGTAGCAGGCAACAAGGAACCAGCAAGGGATTCTGACCAGGGGACTAGCTGGAAAAGGACTGTGTTTTAAGAATTCTTCCAGCATCTTCAACTAATGTATGGCAGTCTGGATAGAAAGAGGAGGCAGGAAGGCTGGTGGAGGCTATTTTGGTAATGCTGGGCAGAACCTGAAGAAGATCTGCCCTGGGCCCTGCCAGAGGAAAAGGAGAATTTTGCTTTCCACCCCAAATGTTCTCTTGGAAGTTCTCCTCTGCATTTATTCCTTGGAAAATGAGTAGAATTCCCTGACTGCTTGATTTGAAAAAGCTTTTTGTTTGTTCATAGTTTGTTCTTTATCTGGCAAGTAAAAGGAAGCCTTTTTGTGTCCTTTTTCTGAGGTACTGGGTCATAACAAATGGAAGTAGAATGCTAGAGATTAGTAAGGGATCTGGAAGGGATGGAATCAATAGAATTTGATTGGATGGGGAGACTTAATGATGACTCCAAAATTTTAGACCTGAATGACTAGAAAAATGGTGGGATCCCTATGGGAAATAAGATGATGATTTGAGAAGAAAGACAGTATGCCAAATGGACTTAGTTGGAAGTTACAATAGCCTTTTCATGCAGAAATATCCAGAAGCTGTTGACAGGCCAAAGCTGGCATTCATTTAAAAAAAAAAAAAAAAAAAAAGCAGGGGCTAGAAATAATACAGTTGGCTGTTGTGTGCATGAAGATAAAGCCATGTGTAGTGGGTGCCTGTGTGGAGGGATAATGTGGTGACAAATGGACAAGATGGCCCAGGGCAGAAGTTTGAGGAAATAGAGCAGGAGGGAGAGAGATTTAGAGAGAGAGAGAGAGAGAGAGAGAGAGAGAGAGAGAGAAAGGACAGAAGGCTAGAGAAGTAGTACATGCAGACATGCAGAGCTGCAGAGGTAAAAGGAGGAGATGTAAAGTTGGTAAATACAGCAGACTGGGGAGGAGGGGAAAGAGGATGTAGTCCTATGGGCTGTGTTTGGTGATAAAGGGTCACTTCCTCTGGGCAGTCTTTCTGCCCCGCTCCAGGCCATCCAGAACTGTCTTCCTCTATAGCTTGGCATGAGCACTGGTGACAAGGGTAGCCACCGGTGTTTGCTTGTGTATCCGTTTCCCCTTTAGATCAAATGCTGGCAAAGAGCAAGGACCCTGTAGAGCTGTCTACACCTAAGAGGTGGGCTATGACATGGGCGGTCATAATGAACTGCCAGGGAGGAACATATGGCCTAAATGAAAATATACTGCAGCCGTGGAGTTCTAATACTGCCATTTATCAGTCTCATGAACTGTGGCTAGTAACTTAGCATCTTTTCAGATGCCTCAACTTCCTTTTAGGTAAAATGGGCATAACTAGCATCAAAATCCAGCATCAAAAATCAGGTGTTGTTGACCCACTTACTTACAAGTGCTTTTTTGGTTTTTTGTTTTTAATATATTGGGGGACTGTTTATGTTAGAGTGTGGAGAAGCTGGAAGGTGGTCTGGATATAATCATCAAAGTAGGAGGTAGCTCCTCTGCCCATGAAGGAGAGGATGCCATAGGCCTGAGTGATCAGGAGGTTTCCTGAGGGGTGGGCCTAAGGTAGGAAGAAAAGCACAAGGTGAATAAGAGGATTTGCAAGCATCTGGGAAGACCCAGGGGAAATGTGTGTGTGTGTGGGGGGGGGGGGTAGGCAAGGATGCCTAATCCTGGAGGAATCGGGCTCCTTAGCGGAAAAGGGGTTAGGGAAGGTGTGCCCACAGGCTTCCTCGCTGACGGGCTCTCACAGGTGAGGGTCGTAAGAGAGGCAGGCGCCCACCTGGAGCCCAAGCATCCCCGGGGATGGCGTGACTGCGTGACTGCAAGCAGAAGCATTTAGAGCTTAAGGAGGAGGGCCCATTAATCGCCTCGCAGCTGCAACGTGGAATCATCTTCCAAAGATTAGGCAGCCGCGGACGTGGCGCAGCCCCTCCAGGCCTCCCCGCGCAGCCTCGCGCACCCGCCGCGGGCCCGCCTCCGCCGACGAGCGCGCTCTCGCCGCTGCAGGAACTTCAGGAACTTGGCTTTCATCTCGGACCCAAAGCATGACCTTAGGGTTTGGTGTGGTTTTTTTTTTTGTAAATTGCTGAGTGTGGGGAGCCCCGCCTTTCCGGGCCGGGGCTTGGCCACGGGGCCGCCCCTCCCGCGCTCCGGGCCCGCGCTCCTTCCCTGACGGCGCTGGAGGGCCCGGCGGTGCGGCCCGGGCGGCCCGGAGACCCATGGCGCTGCCCGCCTGGCTGCAGCCCAGGTAGGGCGCGCGGCCCGGGCCGGGGCCGGGGGCGGGGGCGGGGCTCCCTCCGCCGACGCCCGCAGGCAGCTGGGCGGGCACCGGGCGGCGCTGCGCCCCCCTGCGCTCCCCTAGCCCTGGGGCTCCTGCCCGGCGGGAGCTGGTCTTCAGGTCCCTGGGCAAGCCCAGGAAGAAGGCTCTGTTACTTCCCCCGTGTCCAGAAGAGAAAATGGGAAGGACAGGCGGCGCTGCCAGCCGTGCCTCTGGTGCACCCCCTACCAGCCCCCCGCCGCCCCCCGCACACACACCGGGAGCCCTTTCCTTGCCCTCTCAGACCTGGCGTCCCGCGGGCTGGGCTTTACACCTACTTCTGCAGAAACACCTATTGCGTGTGTAGAGTCCAGGGCCCGGTTCCAGAAAAGCTTGCTCAGCCGCGTTAGGGTAGGCCCTGGGGATGTGTATGTTTAACCTGCAGGCCAGGTGATTCCCCTGCTGGTTTAAGGGGGAAATCCTTTCGCCCGCCCCTGAGTCTGTCGCATCTCCTGTAGGGGCCCTGTCCTCAAGCCATACTGCATTCCCGCTTCGGAAATGCCTTCTTTCTCAGAGGTTTCACAGCTCCGACTCGGAGAAATCCTTGTCTATACTGGCAGGGCCCCTCCTGCCACCCTTCGGAGCCCGCAGGGCACACTTCAAACAATGCTTTTCCTAACTACCTCAAACGTCATCCCTTAGTCATCTCCCCAGCAACCCACTTTTAAACCCAGCTTGACTTCCCTTTTCTGGCTTGAGCCACTAAACTGCTTTCTATGTGTGTCTGGTGAAGGAAAGGAACTGCCCCTGCAAATATAACGCAGCGGCCACGTGCTGACCCCCCTCACATATTGCGTAGGAAAGTCTGGTATGGCCAACGCCTAAATGACCCACCATTTGGAAATGCCACCATCACTGCTCCCTTCTTGTAGCTGTAGACCAGGGATCTCGGCTTTGCACTAGCAGGCAAGCACTGAGCTGGTCAAGCCCTTACCATCCTCCCCCCGCCCCCACCCCCTCAAATCAAAGCCCTCTTTGCAATGCTTATTTTAGCCCTTGGTGAGAACAAGGTTAGAACTTCCTCAAAGCTGAAAGTGAATTTTGAAATAGAGCCATATTTGGCTTTAAGCAAACTCAGGATACTCCTTTTAAGCAGATCATGTGTGCTCTGGGTCCTTTCAAAATCTGATGTGCATTACAGAGATAACCAAAAAAAAAAAAAAAAAAAAAGACTGATAAAGAATAGTTTTCTCTTGCTTGCTCAGGTGGGCTAGTAGGTTAAAAGATGTGTGTACAATGCTGAAAAGATTATTGAAAGGAAGCATTTAATGGTATTTTCCTATATTTATAGGTATAGGAAGAACACCTATCTTTTCATCTACTACTTAATCCAGTTCTGTGGCCACTCATGGATATTTACCAATATGACAGTCCGATTCTTTTCATTTGGAGAAGGTAAAACTCCAAAAAACAGTTTTGGATTTTTAACTTTCAATATTTGCTTTCACCCAGTTCTGCTTATATTAATTTTTTCACTTCTATGAACTTTACCTAATATCCTTCACTGCTCTAAAATTTAGTAGCCATATTTTTTCAGGAGCCTTACTTCTTGCAAAAACAAACATTTTTTTTTGGAGAAGGGGGCAGGTGAGATGAGGTAGAGAGACTTGGCTTCCCTCTGACTAGGCAGTTTGTCCTGAAAGCACAGACATGGCATTGGGGTGGTGCTGTGTGACTCTCCCTTTTTGGTTCTGCTGCAAACCTTAGCCGATTTGATGGGCTTTGAGGAAATCTGTAAATTGCAGTATAACATTTTGTGCAGAGAGCTGAGGAATTAACCAAATTCTTCCCTTGTTTTTTTATTCCCCAGGAGTAAGATAACTGGACACCACTAACAAGTGAAAGACAAACTGTTATAGTCTCCAAGGTTATATTTGGTCCCTGCAAGGAGTCGTGGGTTCCTAAGTAAATGACACACATTATAGATGACTTACTGTCTATATGGTAGTTGGTATTAATGGTTAAAGTCAAAAGTTTCCTTCAGATTTCTAAAAAGTAAAAACATTTAACTAGCATTTCAATTTTTAAAAGATGAAGCACTACGTGGCTGTCAAAATAACATTCTTTTCACATTCCATCCCTACATGGGTGTCATCACAGTTTACAAACACTGGGTGACTTGACAGTTTGAGCCACTGCTGGTTTCAGCTAGAAGCAAATGCTTAAAATATATCCAGGAAAGGTCATGCTGTGTCATCAATTCAGCCTTCTGTATCATAAGGACATTAATCTAATTCTGAGGTACCATGACTATTTTATGTTGCTCTTTCTTACTGCAAATCTGCAGTTAAAACTCTTGCCTTCAGCATCCTCCAAAGATACAACCCAAGGCTTGAATTTCAGCTATGAATGTTGGGAGGCTTCAAGCAGAGGAAAACATGAGCATGGGGGAAACTTCCTGTATGTTTTTAGGGGAAAAAAAAATCAATACTTTGAGGCCTTGGAAGTTCACTGGGGGGCTTTGTGGGCACAAGACAAGTCATTCACTACAAGAGTCACAAGCAACGAACGCTTTCTTATCCTGCCTGGCCTTTCTAGTGGGAAAAATTGCTTTAAGTCAAATGTGTGTTTATATCATAGTTATTATCCTACTGTTACAGTTATAGAAACCTTATTAAAGAAACACAACCATTCATATGGGAAGCAGATTGAAAAAGTGACTGAAAACAAGTTAAATGGCAGTTGAGTACAATTCCTGAGTCAATGTATAAATTAAGGAGCTTAGTAGTGATCTAATCACCTGAATAGTAGTAACACCTGCATACCTTCCCAGTCACAGAGCTGTGTCACCGATAATGCTCCATTGTAGCAAGCACAGGGCAGCAGGTGGGAGCACCGACTACCGGGCCTCAGGAACTGTCTGTGAAACGGGGATGATGATCATTTTAGTATTCACCTCATAGAGCTGTTGAGAAGGGTAATCACTGGGTGGTAAAGACAACAGTGTTTCCTAGATATCTTAACATGGCAGGGTTTTATTTTAAAATCTAAAGTGAGATATTTATCCTATTTAGAGGAATAGTTTCCCTCCTAGCTCAGTTCTCTCCACATGCAGTATGGGCTTTCTGCAATGCAGTCTCCAAAAGTCCCCACCAGAGGCCCAGGTTCTAGCAAAGGTCCAGAAAGCACTAACCAAGTGTGTATAGGACACAAATGGTACACACACATAAGATGTATTAAACATGACCTCGTTATGAATGTCCTTTCTGTAAAGCTTCTCTGGAATCCTATATTTCTCTGTCATTTTCTTGTCAATGATAAAGATGTGAGCATGCCAGCTTCTATAACCTGTTTACATTTGATATCATCTAGATTATACTGGGTTACTTAAGTGGGACTGTTTTATAAAATATATGGGGAATTATAATATATATATATAATATATATAAAATATGTGTATATATGGAGAATTAAAAACTGTAGCTTTGGCCGTGGGCCACCTTTTTCACATTTTTACTTTTTTGGAAGAAGAGCAATTAAGATGTACTATAATATGCAGTGCTTCCTTTGGTTACATAGTATTCTTGATAATTTAGTAGCTGTTAGGAAATTTCTCAAATATACAATGAAAAAAGAAGCAAATCATGATTTTTATTTCAAAGTCCTGCATATTTTTGGGTTGTGACCCAGCTTTTACTTACAGTACCTGTTTTTAATTCCCTGGACACAGATTCCATGGTCGACACTTTTTATGCTATTGGTCTTGTGATGCGCCTTTGCCAATCCATTTCCCTCCTGGAGTTGCTGCACATATGTCTTGGCATTGAACCAAACCATCTGCTGCCTAGGTTTCTGCAGGTAGGTTTTTGTGGGGTTCTTTAAAAAGAAACAATATTATTGGGGGCACCTGGGTGGCACAATCAGTTAAGTGGCCAACTCTTGGTTTTGGCTCAGTGATCTTGGGGTCCTGAGATTGAGCCCTGCACTGGGCTGAATGCTCAACACGGAGTCTGCTTCAGATTCTCTCTCCCTCTCCTCCTGCCCCTCCCACTCTTGCTATCTCTCTCTCTAAAATAAATATAATCTTTAAAAACACACACAATATTATTAACTATATTCCCTATGCTCTAGTTTTCATTCCTGTGACTTTATAACAGGGGTTTGTACTTCTTCATCTCCTTTATTTTGCCCATCCCCCCAACCATCTCTCCTCTAGCAACCACCATTTCCCTGTATTAAGGAGTCTGTTGGGGATTTTTTGTTTGTTCATTTGTTTTTTAGATACTACAAATAAGTCAATCATATGGTATTTGTCTTTCTCTAACTTATTTCACTTTGCATAATACCCTCTAGCTCCATCCATGTTCTTGTAAATGGCAAGATCTCATTCTTTTTCATGGCTGAGTTATATTCTTGTGTGTCTATACACACACCACATCTTCTTTATCCATTCTTCTATGGATGGACACTTGGGGTTGCCTCCATACCTTGGCTATTATAAAAAATGTGACAATAAACAGAGGGGTACATATGTTTTCAAGTTAGTGTTTTTGTCTTCTATGGGTATATACCTAGTAGTGAAGTTACTGGATTATATGGTATTTCTATTTTTATTTTTTAAAGGAACCTTCATACTGTTTTCCCCAGTGGCTACATTAATCTACATTCCCATCAGCAGTTTCCTTTTCTCCACATCCTTGTCAACACTTGTTATTTCTTGTCTCTATGATTCCAGCCTCTCTGTCAGTTGTGAGGTGTTCTCATTGTTTTGATTTGCATTTCCTTGATGATGAGTGATGTTGAGCATCTTTTCATGTGTCTGTGGGCCATGTGTATGGTTTCTTTGGAGAAATGCCTGTTCAGTTCCTCTGCCCATTTTTTTTATTGGATTTTTTTTTTTTGGTGTTGTGTAAGTGCTTCATATATATTTGGCTATTAACCCCTTATCAGATATTTCACATGCAAATATCTTCTCCTACTCACTAGGTTGCCCTTTTGTTTTGTTGATAGTTTCATTTGCTCTGCAAAAGCTTTTTATTTGGTGTAGTCCCAATGGTTTAATTTTGTTTTTGTTTCTCTTGCCTGAAGAGATATAAGCATAAATATGTTGCTAAGTCTGGTGTCCAAGAGATTACTGCCAATGTTTTCTTTTAGGAGTTTAATGGTTTTGGGTCTCACATTTAGGTCTTAAATCCGCTCTGAGTTTGTTTTTGTATAAGAAAGTGGTCCAATTTCATTCTTTTGCATGTAGCTGTCCCATTTTTCTCAACATCATTTGTTGAAGAGACTGTCCATTGGATATTCCTCCTCCTTTGTTGAAGATTAATTGACCACATAATCATGGGTTTTATTCTGGGCTCTCTATTCTGTTCCATTGATGTGTCTATTTTGTGCCAGTACCATACTGTTTTGATTATTCCAGCTTTGTCATAGATCTTGAAATCTGGAGTTGTAATATCTCTACTGTATGGTTCTCTCTCAAGATTACTTAGTCTATTTGAGGTCTTTTGTGGTTCTATACAAATTTTAGGTTTATTTGTTCTAGTTCTGTGAAAATGCTTGTGGTATTTTTTATAGGGTTTACATTAAGTCTGTAGTTTCCTTTGGGTAGTATGGATATTTTAATGGTAGTAATTCTTCTAGGAGCATGGTTCTGCAGGTTTTAATCACATTATCAGTATTATAGAATCTGTTTTATACTTTGTTCTGTTTTGTCCTCTCTTGACATAAAGTTAGCAGTTAAAAAGTCAACCCCTGAAAACTTGCAACTCAAGTCACTAATAAGAATTCCAGGGATCCCTGGGTGGCGCAGCGGTTTGGCGCCTGCCTTTGGCCTAGGGCGCGATCCTGGAGACCTGGGATCGAATCCCACGTCAGGCTCCCGGTGCATGGAGCCTGCTTCTCCCTCTGCCTGTGTCTCTGCCTCTATCTCTCTCTCTGTGACTATCATAAGTAAATAAAAATTAAAAAAAAAAAAAAAGAATTCCATGAAAAGGGACACCTGGGTGGCTCAGTGGTTGAGCATCTGCTTTTGGTTCCAGTCATGATCCCAGGGTCCTGGGATCGAGTGAGTCCCACATTGGGCTCCCCGCGGGGAGCCTGCTTGTCCCTCTGTCTATGTCTCTGCCTCTCTGTGTCTCTCATGAATAAATAAATAAAATATTTTTTTAAAAAAGAATTCTATGAAAAAACAACTTCATTCTGAGGTACTGGACAGTTAGACTAGCCTGTTGGACTAGCCATTGCCATCAGGGCAATGATGCTGTTGCTCTGTACAGCACTGTGGTGATCCTCTCTTAGGGGCAGATTTCATAGCCAGTTCTCACTCTCAGTGTGCCACTGTGCTGGGCACTGTAGGATGATGGAGGAGAGTCATGGAATTGGTCATTCAGACTTGGGTTTGATGCCTGGCTCCTCTAACTATCACTGTGTGATCATATCATCCATAGTTATTGAGCTGTTTTGGGGGAAGGACACCACACAAAATATCTGGCCAAGAGTAAATGGTCCAGGGGTACATAGGTGGCTTAGTTAGTTAAGCATCTGCCTTCAGCTCAGGTCATGATCATATGGGGTCCTGGGATGAAGCCCACTCCCTGCTCAGCAGGAAATCTGCTTCTCCCTCTCCTTCTGTCCTTCTTCTCCCCTCCCCTGCATGTGCTTTCTCTCTCTCAAATAAAATTTTTTTAAAAATCAAATTATCCAAAAAATTTAAAAGTTTCCTTCATCCATAGCCAAAGAATAGAATACTCACCATTTCTTGTTCTTTCTACCACTTTTACAAATGGAAAGAAGGGATCATTCATGTTTATCTAATACAGCATCTAATCATAGACTTGAATCTACAGACCTGGATTCAGATCCCAGTTCTAACTACTAGTTGTATGAACCTTTTTTTATTTTTTTATTTTATTTTTTTTAAATTTTTATTTATTTATGATAGTCACACACAGAGAGAGAGAGAGAGGCAGAGACACAGGCAGAGGAGAAGCAGGCTCCATGCACCGGGAGCCCGACATGGGACTCGATCCCGGGTCTCCAGGGTTGCGCCCTGGGCCAAAGGCAGGCACCAAACCACTGCGCCACCCAGGGATCCCTGAACCTTTATTTTAATTTCAAGGTTTTAATTTAAGTTCTAGTTAACAGATAGTGTAAAATTAGTTTCAGGAGTAGAAACTATTTATATGAATTTAAACATAGAAATTGTTCTGGACCTCAATTTCTCATGTGATGTGAAAATAACACATATCTTGTGGAGTAACTGAAAAAAAATGGGCAAGATAAGTTCCTAGCATTTAGTTAGAATACAATATCTATTACTATTATCTTAGCTATGATTTATTTCCTGTACCATGTCTGTAGCCCTAGATGACCATGTTCCTTTGTTTTTTTTTAAAGATTTATTTAAGAGAGAGAGAGTGTGTGTGTGCTTGCATGAGTGGTGAGGGGGAAGGGCAGAGAGAGAGGGAGAGGAAGAAGTAGACTCTCCACAGAGTAGGAAGCCGGACATCGGGCTGGATCCCAGGGCCTGGAGATAATGACCTGAGCCAAAGGCAATCACTTAACCAACTGAGCCACCAGGTACCCTGAATATGTTCCTATATTTTAAATTGATTTAAATTCAGTTAACATGTAGTGTATTATTAGTTTCAGAGTTGGAGTTCAGTGATTTATCTGTCTTCTATAAAACCTAGTGCTCGTTGTATCACATGCCCACCCAGTTATGCATCCCCAACCTCCCTCCCCTCCAGCAACCCTCAGTTTGTTTTTTATGATTAAGAGTCTCTTATGTTTTATTTCCCTTTTTGACTTCATATTGTTTCATTTTCTCCTTACTTCCTCTATGATCCTGTTTTGTTCCTTAAATTTCACGTGAGTGAGATCAAATGATAATCATCTTTCTTTGCTTGACTTATTTTGCTTAGCATAATTTCCTCATTCCATCCACTTTGTTGCAAATGGTCAGATTTCATTTTTGATGGCTAAGTAATATTCCATTGTACATATGTACTACATCTTCTTTATCCATTCATCTTCGATGGACATCTGGACTCTTTCCATAGTTTGGCTATTATGGACATTGCTGTTATAAACATTGGAGTGCGGGTGCCTCTTTGGATCACTACATTTGTGTCTTTGGGGTAAATACCTAGTAGTGCAGTTGCTGAGTTGATTTCTGCTATAATCCTAATTAATTCTCTTTACCTGCTGAGTTTAGGCTTTATTTGCCGTTCTTTCTCCAGCTCCTTTAGGTGTAAGGTTAGACTGTGTATTTGAGATCTTTCTTACTTCTTGTAAGGCTTGTAAAGGCTTGTATTGCTATATGCTTCCCTCTTAGGACCACCTCTGCTGTATCCCAAGGTTTTGAAGAGTTGTGTTTTCATTTTCAATTAGCAATAATTGTGCCTCGAATAAACCTCATTGGCTATGATACTGCCACTGTGCAAAGCTTGTGTTTTCATTTTCATTTGCTTCTGTGAATTTTTAAAATTCTTCATTAATTTCCTGGTTGACCCATTCATTCTTTAGTAGGATGTTTTTTAGCCTCCATGTATTTGAGTTCTTTCCAAATTTCCTCTTGTGATTGAGTTCTACTTTCAAAGCATTGTGGTCAGAAATTCTACAGAGAACAATCCCAATCTTTTGATACCAGTTGAGACCTGATTTGTGACTCAGTATGTGATCTATTCTGGAGAATGTTCCATGTGCACTCGAGAAGAATGTGTATTTTGTTGGTTTAGGATGGAATGTTCTGAATATATCTGTGAAGTCCATCTGGTCCAGTATGTTATTCAAAGCCCTTGTTTCCTTGTTGATCTTCTGCTTAGATGATCTGTCCATTGCTATGAGTAGGGTGT